ATGGAGCGGGTCTGGGGGGCCTCGGCCCTCCTGTGGGCCGTGTTGGCTGCGGGTAAGTCTGCTCCCGCTGAGTCAGCCCCGGCGGCAGCTGCGGCCAGCTCTGCTGGGCTCCTTGGGAGGGAAGGGGGTGCGCGGGGGGAGACAGAAGGTAACCGGACTTGGGACGTGCGGTGACACTGCTCCGTGGTGCTGTGTGCACAGTCGGAGCTGCGAATGGGTGTTTGGACGCCCTCCACCTCCCCCCCCCCATGTGAAACGCCTGTGTGCTCAGCCCCCGGCCAGGGCCGTCTCTCCGCTTCCTGTGAGCGGTAACGAGATCCAGCTTAGCAGGCAGCACACGAGGCTCACAGATGGGCTTCAGGGTCAGAGCCGCTGAGCGGAGGTCATTCCGGCACCTTCCGGGCAGCGGTCCCCGTGCCTTTGGGGGGCCGTGCAGCCGGGGGACAGGGGGCAGTGCCGGGGCAGAGGCCGGCGGGACTCCGCTGGACGAACGCCCCCCTGAGCCTCTGCCCTCCTCTGGCCGCCGCAGCGCACGCCTTCAGGATGGAGATCTCGCCCGAGTCGCCCGTCATGGCCCCCATCGGCACCGCGGTCTCGCTGACCTGCCGGGCGGACGGCTGCGCGGCGCCCGCCTTCTCCTGGCGGACCCAGATCGACAGCCCGCTGGGCGGGCGGGTGCGGAGCGCCGGGCCCTTGTCCACGCTCACCATGGACCCCGTGGGCTTCGGGAACGAGCACTCGTACCTGTGCACGGCCGCCTGCGGGGCCCGCAAGGCGGAGCGGGGCGTGGAGGTGCACGTTTACTGTGAGTACGCGGCCCCCGCGGGCCTGAGCGAAGGCTCCCCCGGGGGTGGTTTGGGAAGAGAGACGTCGTCCATGCCCGGGTCCGTGCCCGGGTGCGAGGCCGGGGGACTAGGCTCCCGCACCCGGAGAGGGAGAGGCCGCTGAGCTTGGCAGGAGCCTGGGAGCCGGAGCCGTGGCCTCCATGTCCCACGCTGCACAGAGCTGGTGGCCCGGAGGACGGGGCTGCGCTGGGCTTGCGGCTCTGAGCCCCGCAGGGACGCTCTCAGCAGCTCTGCCTGCACAAAACGTCCTCCTGCATTCGGCCCTCCCGTGCCGTGCTCCGGGGGCCCCGTCTCTGTAGTCTGATGCACCGGGGCGCTCAGCATGGGTGTGAGGGGGAGACGACGCAGTTAGTAACGGGCTCCCCCCAGCCCAGCCCCGGACAGAGGGAGAATGTCTGCCCCCACACCCCGCACTGGGTCTCCCCGCGTGGGTCAGCGTGAGCTCCTCCTGGCTGCTCTGGGTCCGTGAATCCTGGGCGCTCCACTGCCCAAGCTCCAGGGCATTTGCATAATGGATTCGGCGTGCCTGGAGAGTGTGAATGGAGGCCCCTCGCTTGGCATTCCAGCAGCGTGCATCCCGTCTGTGCTCAGCCCGCCAAGTGCAGCCAGCGGCGGGGGAGGGGGCCCCAACTCGCCTCAAATCAATCCCTGGCCCTGGCGACCGGGCCCCTCTCTCAGGAACAAAAAACACAAGCCGGGGGTGCTTCGCAGACCGGCCCCGGGCGCCGGCGGCGTTATGGTTCTCTCGCTTCCCTTGTGGTGGCGACGCCCAGCGCTGCCCAGAAACCCGAGCCGGTTCCTCCCCACCCCCCACCCCCCTCCCCCGGGGCGCTGCTGACCCTCCCGGCCCGGCCTGGCCGTGGTGCGGGCCCTGCAGCATCCTCCCTGTGCCTGCTGCTTCCTGAGCGCCCAGGCCCTCCTGGCAATGGAGGGAAAGCAGCCAACGCTGGGTCACCCGGCAGCAAGCCTCGTGGGCGCAGGCACAGCCCTCCCGGAATCGGAGGGACAAGGGCTGGGGGGGGGGCGGGGGCGGGGAGGAGGAAAAGGGCTGCGTTCCTCCCACATCCGAGCTTCCGGCCCCTTTGCCTCCACTCCCTGGTCCATAAATCGCGGAGGGTTTAACGAAGAGAAGGGGGGACCTCTGGCCCCTGATCTCCCCTGCAGTTTTCCTCCCCTGCGTCCGCCCTGCGTCCTGGGGGACACACTCGGGGGTGGGTCGTCAGGGCTGAGACCTTCGGGTTGTCACCGCAGAGCCTCGTCAGCACCCCGAATGTCTGGCCGGGAAGCCCGTGCCCGGAGGCCGAGGCTGAGGTCTGCAGAGCGTGCCCCGTTCCCAGAGGCGCCTGCGGGCCTTTCGGGAGGCAGCCCAGCCCGCCTTCCGGGCTTTGCAGATGCACAGACGTCCCTTCCCGGCCATCGGTTCCTCCTGGAGGCGCCCTCTCAGCAGCAGGCATTCAGCGTGGCTCCCTCCCCGCCTTAGCGATTCTCCCCACCGCTCCTCTCTGCAGCGGCCCGTCAGAGGGGAACGTGTCTGCCCGGCTAACGTGACGGAATGTGATACAACGAACCATAGACCCGCAGGGACAGCGCGGAGTCAGAAACCCCGAGCTCCCGCCCCAGACGTCCCGGTGACCTGGGCCAGCTGTGCACATCCACCGGGTGTGTGCTTTCACACCTGTGGGGTGCGGTCCCGCCTCTCGGGGTTCCTGTGAGGACAGAGTAAGATCACCCTTGCTGTGAGTCCTTAGTAAGCATTCCCTTCCCCTCCCTTCTTCTACTCAGTAACATGTAAAGCCTCAGACGCACGGCAGCAGAGCCGAGGAATCGGGAAAGGGGTGGACTTACACAATCGAGACTGTCTTCGCAGGAACGTTAGATCGGGCTTGCACCGCGGGAACTCCCTGCGGGGCCCGCCCCACCCGAGCCCGGAGCCCCCTCACGCGTGTTCCTTTGATCTTTGCAGCTTTCCCCAAGGCCCCGGAGATCCACCTGCCCGGCCCCCTGCGGGTGGGGCAGCCGGCCACGGCCACCTGCCTGGTCCCCGACGTCTACCCGTTCGACAGGCTGGAGGTGGAGGTGCTGAAGGACGGCCGAGTCCTGAGAAGCCAGGAGTTCCTGGAGCCCATGGAGAGCAAGTCCCTGAGGAACATGAGCGTGGAGGTGACCTTCACGCCCACCCGGGAGGACACGGGGAAGGCCCTCGTGTGCCGAGCCACGCTGCACATCCCCGAGGTGGGGGAGGAGCTCCGGAGGAGGGAGAGCACCAGCGAGCTGCAGGTGTACGGTGAGGCCGGGCGCCGGCGGCTGGGCGGGCGCTCCGCCGTGGCTGGCCGCTGAGCAGCGGAGTCAGGCAGAAACGTGATTCAGTCCCGTTCTCTCCGGGGGGGACGTGTCGGTGACAAGAGAGCTGGGTGGGGGCTAAGGAGCAGTTCCTCTGCTTCCCAGCCTGTCGAAGGGAAGTAATCACACCACACACACGGGGCAGTAGGAAATGGGCTCAAGTCGTATCGTTTTTTATCGTGTTGTAAATTCTTTTTTTAAAAAAATATATTTTATTGATTTTTAACAGAGAGAAAGGGAGAGAGATAGAGAGCTAGAAACGTCGATGAGAGAGAAACGTCGACCAGCTGCCTCTTGCACACCCCCCACCGGGGATGTGCCCGCAACCAAGGTGCATGCCCCTGACCGGAATCGAACCTGGGACCTTTCCGTCCGCAGGCCAACGCTCTACCACCGAGCCAAACCGGCTTCAGCTCGTGTTGTGAGTTCTTATACTGTGCCCTGAACTCTCCGGTACGGAGATCTGACACGGCGAGCACTGACTCTGCGGCTACATGTATGTTTTGTTTTGGGGGGCGGGCGTGCAGAGGGGCTCCGGCTGCCTCCACACTCCGGAGGCTGCGGGGTTCGGAGGCGCCTCGTGGTCCCGGGTTGGGTAGGAGAGGCCCTGCTGCTCTCCGTTCTGGACTAGAACCTGCGCTCTGCTCTGGACGCCCCTCTGAGAGGGGAAATGCCCACCGAGCACGCTCAGGAGAGAAGGAGAGGGAGAGACTTTTATCAAAATTCTGATTAGCCGCCGAAACCGCTTTGGCTCAGTGGATAGAGCATCGGCCCGCAGACTGAAGGGTCCCAGGTTCGATTCCGGTCAGGGGCATGCACCTTGGTTGAGGGCACATCCCCAGTGGGGGGTGTGCAGGAGGCAGCTGATCGATGTTTCTCTCTCATCGATGTTTCTAGCTCTCTATCCCTCTCTCTTCCTCTCTGTAAAAAATCAATAAAATATATTTAAATTAAAAAAAAAAAGAATCTGAATAGTCAAGACAGGGGATATTTTTCCTAGAGAATGCAGAACTTGGAGGAAAAGAGGGCTGTAATTGAGTATTTGAACCACATAAAGAATCTTAATTTCTGAGTATCTATAGCCAATTGAAAACACCAACCATCACAAAAAAACTAGCCCAATCAGACTGGCCAGCCCTGGATGGACTGATGTGTCTGCACCGTCTGACACAGCACGTCTGTTGGGGCTGTGGGCTCAGTCATCCCCGTGGGGTCGAGGGGGGCTCGGCCGCTGCTGACGCGGTGCCTGTCTTGCAGTCTCGCCCACGAACACCACCGTGTCGGTGAGCCCGTCGGCCCGGCTGCAGGAGGGCGGCTCAGTGACCATGACCTGCGCCAGCCGGGGCCTGCCGGCGCCGCGGGTCTCCTGGAGCAGGAAGCTGGCCGGCGGGCACCTGCAGCCGCTCTCCGGGAACGCCACGCTCACGCTGGTCGCCATGAGGGCGGAGGACTCCGGGGTTTACGTGTGCACGGCGGGGAACCTGGCTGGCGAGGACCGGAAGGAGGTGGAGCTGCTTGTCCAGGGTGAGTGATTGGTGCAGAGGCGAGAGGCAGAGGCTGCCGCGGGCTCCGAGCCAGGTGAGGCCGCTCCGGTGCCCGGTCGCCCCCCCGGATCTTGCGGGCGCCCCATCTCATTGCCGCGGGCCCCGGCTCAGGTGTGCGCTCACCGTCCTCACGCCTGTAAGAGGCAGCGCCTGCCACGTGCTGGGTGCTAGGTGCTGGGTGCTCCATGAGGCAGGGTGCACGTGGGCAGCCCCCGTTTTTCACGTGTGAAACTGTGAGGCTGAATCGGGACGGTTAATAAGGAGACTTCGGCCTCGCCGTCGGTGGAGGCACTCGGTTGGGGGTTCGATGGGCTTTCTCAGGAGACCGGGAGAGGCAGCCCCTAGGGAAAGCAGGGACGGCCGGTCCTCTGTCCTGGAAGACACCCCCTCCCTCCCCATCCTAAGCTGCGTCCCCTCAGGGGGAGGGAGACACGTGGGTGAGGAAGGGGAGTTCTGTCTGCATCCCAGGACACGGGCAGCCTGAGCGGTAAAGAGGGAACCGAGCTTCCAAAGGGCCTCAGTGACCTGCCGGTGCTCCCACAGGAGCACAGACTCACGTGGGAGCAGAGCCACTGTGAAAATTGAAACAAGAGGAAGTGGCCACAGGCAGGAAGCGGCTCTGGGTACAGTTCCCCCTTCCCACAGCAGAGGGTCAGGAACGGGAACGCCGGGCCCCGCTCGGGACGAGCTGCCGCTGGCAGGACCTCAGAGCCGTCCGCCTCCTCAGGGGATGTGAGGAAAGCCTTCTTGGGCCAAAACCGGTGTAGCTCAGTGGATAGAGCGTCGGCCCGCGGACTGAAAGGTCTCAAGTTCGATTCCGGTCAAGGGCATGTACCTTGGTTATGGGCACATCCCCAGTAGGGAGTGTGCAGGAGGCAGCTGGTCGGTTTCTCTCTCATCGATGTTTCTAGCTCTCTATCCCTCTTCCTTCCTCTCTGCAAAAAAAATTAATAAAGTATATTTTAAAAAGAAAAAAGGAAAAGAAAGCCACCAGGACCATATGAGCAGTTTCCAGCGGAGTCTGGCCTGTCCCTGTCAGAGCTGCTTCCTGTTTCTCCCGGGGCACAGAGCGGAGATTTAGAGTTCCGTTTCTCCCCAGACGGCAGGGTGTGTGCCCGGCAGGGACACACGGGCGGCCAGAGGGCTGTGCTGGATGCAGGGGACGTGGCAGGCTCTGCCCTCCCGTCTGAGGTGCCGGTCCGTGTTTTATTCTGCATCGAAGTCTGGAGGCGGCTCCCGGGCCCCTTTGGTGCTTGGCCCGTGGCTTCGCTTCCAGCGGGACCTCCGACGCATGCCTCCTCCCCGTTGGGACAGACGCTCCGGGCGCCGGTCCGCCGAGGGCCCTGCCCCACGGGGAGACCTGTGTCTGTGGCTTTGTGGCTCTCTTTAGTGCTTCTCTTGGGTCTCGTTTTCTCTCCACACGAGGGTGACCGGACGGAGTTGTTCAAGCAGCTGAGAAGCTGGGATCCTGAATCACACCCACCTGGCTTCAAGCCTTACTTTCGGCTCTTGCCAGTTGTATAAAGTTATTGAGCAGCTCTGAGCCCAGGCCTCCTCAAGGAGGAGAAGGTGGAGGAGGAGGAGAAACAGGAGGAAGAGGAGGAGGAGGAGGAGGCTGAGGAGGAGGAGGAGGAGGAGGAAGAGGAGAAGAATTAGCGCAATGGTTCATGAGGCTGTGCGGACGTGAAGCGGTTACACAAGGCTGAAGGCACCGGAGCCTCTTTGATGACCCGAGTGCCGCCGGGCAATGTTCCTGTGGCCTTAGGCTCTACAGCAGCGGCTCTCAACCTGTGGGTCGCGACTGTGGAGCCTAAGGCCATCCCTCGGAAAACACAGATATTTACGTTACGATTCATCATCAGTAGCAGCACAATCACAGTTATGAAGTAGCTACGGAAATAATGTTAGGATCGGGGGCCGCCACCACGTGAGGAGCTGTGTGGAAGGGCCTCGGCGTTAGGAACGCTGAGAACCGCTGGCTTAAAGGAAACCAGAAAACACCCGACAGCAGCCACACGCCGGAAGGAGGTGAAAGAAGAAGATGCTCACCTTCCCCCCGTCTTGTCTCTTCCCCCAGAAAGGCCGTTCGCGGTGGACGTGGGCCCCGGGCCCCGGGTGGCCGCCCGGATCGGCGGCGCGGTCACGCTGACGTGCGGGGCCGCGGGCTGCGCGGCGCCCGCCTTCTCCTGGCGGACACAGATGGACAGCCCGCTGGGCGGGCGGGTGCGGCGCGAGGGGCCCCGGTCCACGCTGACGCTGAGCCCCGTGGGCTTCGCGCACGAGCACTCGTACCTGTGCAGCGTGACCTGCGGCCGCAGGAAGCTGGAGAAGGGAGTCAAGGTGCAGCTCTACTGTGAGTGCCCCCCCTTACCCCCCCCACCCCCCGCCCCACGGCGCATGGCCTTGTGCGCGGTCCCGTCGGAGAAAGGGAATGAGTGCGACGTGCAATGAGACCGGGCGTGTAGGGAGGGACCTTAGCACCGGGCACGCTTCCTGACTCTCGGAACCAGAATTCCCGAGGCAACTTAGTGGGCCTGGATCTTCAGCGCACATTGCATACGTGCACAGCATCCTAGCTCTTCAGCGCACATTACATACGTGCACAGCATCCTAGCTCTTCAGCGCACATTGCACACATTTGATTGATATTTCTTTTTGAGAGCCAAATTTTTTAAACTTAAACTCCTTCTAAGGCCACTTCTTCAAAATAGACTCGCCCAGGCCGTGGTACTTTGTGGAAGAGCCACCCTCAAGGAGCCAAAGAGCCGCATGTGGCTCTCGAGCCGCAGTTTGCCGACGACGACGGGGCTAGCCGCTCTGAGACGTGTCCGGTTTCCTAGCTTTGAAATAAGTGCTCTGTGGCTTTTCCTAGCTGTAAACACATTAAGTAATACCCACTTCATCTGGCTGTTTTAAGGACGGAGGCCCGGTCAGGGACCCAGCACATCTTGGCACACACGGAGGACACGGAGTTACAAATAAGAGGGGGGACTCCAGGGTCTCGGGGAGAGTCCTCCGTGGCTCTCCGCAGCGCTGTCGCTAGAAGAGGGAGATGAGTCCGTCTATTATGGGCTTCTTCATTTACTACTTTTTGTTTCCAGCGTCACGTACATTTAGTATCGCACACATTTCCACTTCACGCCGTTGTCACATGTGGTGGCCACTCCCTCCCACAGGCTTTAACGCTGTCCCTTTGGAAATGGGTTTAATGGAGGTCAGTTCTGGTTTTCCATCAGAGCCGCAGGAGCCTCATGTTTGCTTGTGTCCGCAGCGTTCCCCAGGGACCCGGAGATCCAGACGGGCGGCGTGCTGGTGAGCGGCAGCCCGGCCACCGTGAGCTGCCAGGTGCCCGAGGTGTACCCGCTGGAGCGGCTGGAGATGCGGCTACTGAAGGGGGGCCACGTGGTGAGGAGTGAGAACTTCCTGATGGGCGCCGACCAGAAGTCCCTGGAGACCGGCCGCCTGGACGTGACCTTCGTCCCCACCACCGAGGACACAGGCGAGGCTCTCGTCTGCGAGGCCCGGCTGCACCTGGACGAGCTGGACGTGGAGGCCACACAGCGGCAGAGCTCACAGACGCTCCACGTGAACAGTAAGTCTCACAGGGGCTCCTTCCTCTCTTTGCCAGGCAGTAGTTGTGGGCACGAGGGTAAGATTAGAACTCCGTGCCAAAGAAAAGGACTGAAAAGAAATGTCCAATAATGATCATTCTAACAAACATCTGGACACTGAAGGCAATAACTGCCCACTGGCCTGTGACTATGAGACGGCAGTGTTGGCAGGGCGGTCAGGGCGGGTGTCTGCTCAGTGTGGCCTGAGATGAACTCACGCGGTCAGTTGGTGGTCAGTTGGAGAGCCAGTGGCGGATCAGTTGGTGGGTCAGTTGGAGGGTCAGTTGGAAGGTCAGCTGGTGGTCAGTTGGAGGGTCAGTTGGAGGGTCAGTTGGAAGGTCAGTTGGAAGGTCAGTTGGAGGGTCAGTTGGAGGGTCAGTTGGAAGGTCAGTTGGCCAGTCAGTTGGAGGGTCAGTTGGCGGGTCAGTTGGAGGGTCAGTTGGAGGGTCAGTTGGAAGGTCAGTTGGAGAGTCAGTTGGAGGGTCAGTTGGAAGGTCAGTTGGAGGGTCAGTTGGAAGGTCAGTTGGCCGGTCAGTTGGAGGGTCAATTGGAAGGTCAGTTGGCCAGTCAGTTGGAGGGTCTGTTGGCGGGTCAGTTGGAGGGTCAGTTGGAGGGTCAGTTGGAAGGTCAATTGGAATGTCAATTGGTGGGTCAGTTCAAGGTCAGTTGGCAGGTCAGTTGGCCGGTCAGTTGATGACAGTTGGAGGGTCAGTTGGAGGGTGAGTTGATGGCAGTTGGAGGGTCAGTTGGAGAGTGAGTTGATGGCAGTTGGAAGATCAGTTGGCAGGTCAGTTGGAGGGTCAGTTGGTGGTCAGTTGGTCAGTTGGCAAGTCAGTTGGAGGGTCAGTTGGCGGGTCAGTTGGCAGGTCAGTTGGAGGGTCAGTTGGTGGGTCAGTTGGAGGGTCAGTTGGAAGATCATTTGGAGGGTCAGTTGGAAGGTCAATTGGAATGTCAATTGGTGGGTCAGTTGGTGGGTCAGTTCAAGGTCAGTTGGCAGGTCAGTTGATGACAGTTGGAGGGTCAGTTGGAGAGTGAGTTGATGGCAGTTGGAAGATCAGTTGGCGGGTCAGTTGGAGGGTCAGTTGGAGGGTCAGTTGGAGGGTCAGTTGGTGATCAGTTGGTCAGTTGGCAGGTCAGTTGGAGGGTCAGTTGGCGGGTCAGTTGGTGATCAGTTGGTCAGTTGGCAGGCCAGTTGGAGGGTCAATTGGAGGGTCAGTTGGTGGTCAGTTAGAAGGTCAGTTGGAGGGTCAGTTGGCGGGTCAGTTGGAAGGTCAGTTGGAGGGTCAGTTGGCGGGTCAGTTGATGGCAGTTGGAAGGTCAGTTGGAGGGTCAGTTGATGGGTCAGTTGATGGGTCAGTTGACTGACCCTCCAGCTGACCCACCAACTGCCCCGCCAACTGACCCGCATGAGGAAACACCCAGGATGTGCCATTTTTTTCCTGTCTGTGCTTCTGCATCTGCTCGGGCACAAGGGGATGGACGGAAACCCCCTTTGGTCATCAAGGGTTCTGAACTGTCCTAACCCATTGCTTGCATAGCCTGGCTTTGCAACATTATTAAAGCTCCTTGGCTTAAGGGTTCGAGCTGACAAGTGTCCCGCCCTTTTCAGTTGCCCCCAGCAACACCAGCATCCTGGTGAGCCCCTCCTCCACCCTGGAGGAAGGCAGCTCCGTGGCGATGACGTGCTCCAGCGATGGCCTCCCCGCACCCAGACTCCGGTGGAGCAGGTGGCTTCCCAACGGGCAGCTGCAGTTCCTTTCTGAGAACACAACGCTCACCTTGGCTTCTGCTGGGAGGGAAGATTCTGGGGTTTACGTGTGTGAAGCGAGCAGTCTGGCCGGGATAAGCAGAAGTGAAGTTGAATTAATTATCCAACAAGGTGAGCAAAATGTGATTAATTAGTTTTTGCTAGTATTATTTTGTTTGTATTAGTGGTTTCCAACAAAGTCTTCTTTAACATTTTTATTTTTAAATTACACTTGATGCACAATATTATGTTAGTTTCGTGTATAACCCCATTAGATATTTATGTAACTTACAAAGTGATCACATCAATAAATCTAGAATCCATCTGACACTATATATAGTTATTATAATATTGATGATATTCCCTATGCTGTATTTTACATCCCATGACTGTGCTGTAATTACCAATCTGTACTTCTAAATCCCTTCACCATTTTCATCCAGTCCCCAAACACCCTCCCATCTAGCAACTGTCAAAATACTCTCTGATTCATGAGTCTGTTTCTGTTCTGTGTTCGTTTATTATTATTTTTTTTTTTTTAGATTCCACATATAAGTGAAATCATCTGGCATTTGTCTTTCTCTGTCTGATTTCTTTCACACAGCACAATCCCTGTATGTCCATCCATGTTGTTGAAGATGATAAGATTTCAATCTTTTTTTCCCCCCAGTCCTAGTCCATTATATACAGCTACCATTTCTTTATCTTTCCGTCTATTGATAGATACTTAGATTGCTTCCATATCTTGGCTGTTGCAAATAATGCTGCAAGAAACATATGGATGTGCATGTTTTTTCCATGTAATGTATTGGGGTTTCTTCAGATAAATACCCAGAAGTGAAATTGCTGGGCCCTTCTTTGTCTCTTGTTATATATAGCCTTTATCTTAAACTCTATTTTGTCTGGTATAAATGTTGCTACTCCAGCTTTTTGTTTTTTTTTTTTGTTTGTTTTCATTTTCATGAAATATCTATTTCCATCCCTTTATTTTCGGTCTGCATGTGTCCGTTGATTTGAAGGGAGTCTCTTGTAGACAGCGTATTTAAGGGTATTGTTTTGTTACGTCTTTTGATTAGAGCATTGAATCCATTGCATTTCAAGTAATTATTGACAGGCATTTGTTGCCATTTTGTTATTCATATTTTTGATCTTTTATTTTCTTCTTAAAGAGGACCCTTTAACATTTCTTTTAATACTGGTTTGGTGAAGATGAACTCCTTTAGTTTTTTTTTTCTTCCTGTCTGGGAAGCTCTTTATCTGTCTTTCAATTCTAAATGATAGCTTTGCATGGTAGAGTAATCTTGATTGTAGGTCCTTGCTTTTTCATCACCCTGAATGTTTTTTGCTAATCCCTCTGGCCTGCAAAGTTCCTATTGAAAAATCAACTTACAACCTTATGGGAACTATCTTGTAGATCACTAACGGCTAAGAACAATCTGTCTCACCCTCCAAACAGGCCATCAGTGAGCTGTCATTAATGCGGGTCTGGTTTGTATTTCGCCCAATCAGAGTTGCCTCCAAATTCTCTTTACAGTTGCTCCAAGAGACATTCAACTTATAGCATCTCCTTCCGAGAGCGTCAAGGAAGGAGACACGGTCATCATCTCCTGCACGTGTGGAAATGTTCCCAAAGCCTGGATCATCCTGAAGAAGAAAGCCGAGTCCGGGGACATGGTGCTCAAGTCCATAGGAGGCGCCTACACCATCCACAAGGCCCAGTTAGAGGACGCGGGCGTGTACGAATGTGAATCCAAAAACGAGCGTGGCCTGCAGTCCCGAAGTATCACCCTTGATGTGAAAGGTCAGAGCTTTGGTCTTGTTTTTGAGAAATGTCAATGGTAGGTCTGAATTTTGGTGGATGGTACAGACTTTCTAGGATGAGATGAATGAGTTGGCCAAAATGGAGTTCCACGTTGACCTTATTCATGTCTTAATGCTTCCTGAGATAGTCATGCACAGCTGCTCCACCTGTGGAGTTGGGCCGGGAAGTTGACATGTATCCTGCTTTTCTTCAAGTTCACAAGTCGGTACTGGTCTCCGAGGTCTTATGTCTTCTGTGTTTCAACGTATTCTCTAAGCCTTCCCCTGGGGGTCCTGAGAAAACGGAACAGGTAGGACTGACACGCAGGAAGAGGAGGGTTTCAGCCAGATCCGATTCCTTCCGACAGAAGAGAACTCGATTCTCTAAAAACTGCCCATTTTCTGAATCAACTCCTTTCAGAATAATAACCATAACAATCAGGAGTGGCCGCCTTAATGCAGAACCACTTTTGTGAATCTCTGTCCATAGAATTGCCTCCTTAACCATTCCAGCCCCTTGTCCACTCTCTTTTATTCTGATGGAGGAGGGCGGGGAGCGGACAATGGTCTCAGCAGAGAAACTTCAGGGGCTCTAACCCCTCGATGACCACTCAACAGGAAGACGTGTTGGTCTTAGTGCAGCACAATAGGCCAGCCTTTTCTCGTCGGCTCCCACTCCTTTGTGTGCCAGGGAGCGCCCAGCTGCGGGCTGGAAGCCCTGCGTGGAGTGAATGTGATTGCAAACAAATGCAACTCTCCTAAGAGCCCAGGCACTAGGCCATCAGAGTTAGCAACCGCTTGTCTGAGTAAAGGGAACGTGAGCCTAGGGCAGATAACAGGCAGACTTTTACTCACCTGCCCAGACTCTCAAGACTGCAGGCCTTAGTTCTGTTCTCTGTCTCCACAGTGCCTCCTCGAAACATGACAGTATCCATACATCCACCTAGAAATGTTAAAAAATGGGAAAATGTCACAATTACATGTAAAACCTTTAGTCATCCGCCTGAGTGATGGTCCTGAAACAGGGGTCTGGTCAATGAAGGGACGATGTGTTCAAAGAATGGAACATTCACCCTGTACCGGCCACTCAGGATGACAAGGGGTGTATGTGATCAGAGCTTCCAGTGAGGTTGGGAATGAGTGTGGACGGATTGAGATCCCAGTTATGAGTAGGTTGACATGCATGCATTCATTCCTCTTTCCTTCAACCCTCCACACCTGCAGGCACCTTCAGTTAAGCCTCGCCCCAGGGAACCAGATTCCTAACACTTGTAATCTGGTTAACAGCACTCTTCAAAGACAAATCACAGCTTCTCCACTTTCTATTTCTGTCTTTCCTAATTGTTCTATGAAGTTAGTAATTTAGGGATTTGCCATGTTCGCTTATTACTTAACGATGACCGCGTGTTGGGCACTCAGGAATTGAGGCCCCCAGGCTAAATATGGTTTAAAATAATGACACATCAATGGAGACAGAACCTGATATTTTCCGTGGGTATTTTGAACTACTTTCCCCTGTATCTGTCTGAGGTTTAACATGAGCTTTGTTTTGCTTTGGCTTGACTGCGTTCCAGAGATAGAAAAAGTTGGAGCCCTTAGGACTTCCAGTGTTGACACAGCTCGGAGGGAACAGTGGGAAGCGACTCAGCAGCAAATCTGTCTCACCGCCGACGCCTGAGGGGAACTGAAGGCAAAGGCGAAGGCTGGTACATTCCAGAGGAAACAAAATGAGCGGAAACACTGCTGCCCAACATGTCACTGGCATTGGTGCCAGACCGCAATGTGATAATGACCTCCCACTAACACCTGACCCTTCCACTTAGATTAGTGCAGGGGTCGGCAAACTCATCAGTCCACAGAGCCAAATGTCAACAGCACAAGGATTGAAATTTCTTTGGAGAGCCAAATTTTTTAAACTTAAACTTCTTCTAACAACACTTCTTCAAAATAGACTCGCCCAGGCCGTGGCATTTTGTGGAAGAGCCACCCTCAAGGGGCCAAAGAGCCGCATGTGGCTCGCGAGCTGCGGTTTGCCGACCACTGGACCAGTTAGATCTGCTCTAGCAAGGGGAAAGTAGGAAAACGAGGCGATTACCATTATGCTTAGGGCGAAGGGTAAAAACCTCAACAATTTGCGGAATTGACTCCCCGGCCTGATCCTCGTGATTCTTTTCCTCTTGGGTGACACCCAGGGATCGGAGCCCTCCAGTCCGACCACTCGTTCTTCTGGGACGAGATGGCACACATGCCAGCAGAAGACACGTGAGCCTGTGAGGTCACACGGTGCGGGGCGGACGGAGGCCCAGCTGTGGGTGTCTCAGCCCGGGCGTGCCTGTCAGCCTCAGAGGTTCCTGTAAGGCTAAGGTGCTACGTAGGCTGGAAGCTGTCAGCTCACTTCAGCAGATGAGAGAGAGAAAGGGCTAATTTTAGTTTTTGTAAGCTATTACCTTCTGTACTCAACGTGTAACCACATGACAAAATGACAGGATACAGAGAGGGAAAATGTGTCACTGCTAAAGAATACGTAGCCTGGCCAGGTGGCTCAGATGGGGTCTTGTCACCAAAAAGGGTTGCAGATTTGACTGGGGTACGTACAGGAGACAGCCGATCGATATTTCTCTCTCCATCTCTCTTTCTTTCTGTCTGCCTCTCCCTTCCTTCCTCTCTCTAAGAGATATATAGTATATTAATAAAATATACTATATATCAGCTGCCAACTATTCCAAGCAGAGAGCCTGGCACTTGCTCTTCAGAGGTGGACCATAAAGAAAATAAGTAACTGCCGAAACCGGTTTGGCTCAGTGGATAGAGCATCGGCTTGCGGACTGAAGGGTCCCAGGTTGGATTCTGGTCAAGGGCATGTACCTTGGTTGCGGGCACATCCCCAGTGGGGGGTGTGCAGGAGGCAGCTGATCGATGACTCTCTCTCATTGATGGTTCTAACTCTCTATCCCTCTCTCTTTCTCTCTGTAAAAAATCAATAAAATATTTAAAAAAAGAAAGAAAGAAAATAAGTAACTTACAATCTGCAGGAGGAAACCAAATTTAATAGATGGTCATACAAAAAAATGTTTAATTATAAGGTGTGATACCAAGAGCCAGAAAGGGGGAGTATAACGGGTTATGAGAGCATATTAGGGCTCCCGGTTTAGGTGGAGGGAGCTGCAGGCCAGAGATTGACGCTTTGAGGAGGTGACATTGATGCCAAGCACAACACGATCCCCAAACTTCAGCTCATGGAGAGATGCTGTCAGTGTGAAGAGGAGCAGCATGCATGTTAAGGCGCCCTCGCTGAGGCGTAGTGTTCCGTATGTCTGTCTGTACAGGCCATGGGCAAGGACTCTTTCACTTCCTGTCTTACATGTGGCCTGTGACTGTATGATCATACCCCAGATGTCACACGGATTTCCTTGCACAACTAAGTGGTTAGTCACCCCAGTCCGTGGTGACCGGAGCCCTCGCTCTGTGGTACATATTTACATTTCCCAGAGCAAACACAGAGCCTCTCACGGCTGCTCTCCTACGGGAGCCTGAGGAGGCGCCCTGCCTCCCGTTCTATGGGGAGCCTGCCTCTGCTTGCCTCCCCGCGTGTGGGAGCTGACAGTGGTCCCTGACCCACTGCGGCCGTGGCCACTGCTCGGGCGACTCAGGGGACCATGCATGTGGGGCCCTGGGGCCCTTCTCCCTGCTTTGCTTCTCCTCTCCCTGGAGAACGCGCTGTCTGCACTGTGGACACGTGGAAGCGTGGCAGGGAAATGATCTGTGTGTGTGCTGGCGCTAACCACTCCGTCCGTTCCTCTCCAGGGAGAGAAGGGGACAAGGACTACTTCTCGCCCGGGCTCCTCGTGCTGTACTGCGCGTCCTCCTTACTCATCCCCGCCCTCGGGATGATCGTCTACTTCGCAAGGAGGGCCAACATGAGGGGGTCCTACAGCCTGGTGGAAGCACAGAAAGCCAAGGTGTAGCCGGCATTTGCCATGCTCCGCCACAGACACTCTCATCCTGGAGCCTTTATCCCATCCATCCCATCCCACCCATCCCACCCATCCCACCCCATCCCGTCTCATCCCATCCCACCCCATCCCACCCATCCCATCCCACCCCACCCCATTCCACCCACCCCACCCCATCCCACCCATCCCATCCATCCCACCCCACCCACCCCATCCCACCCATCCTATCCCATCCCACCCATCCCACCCCATCCCACCCATCCCATCTCGTCCCATCCCACCCATCCCACCCATCCTATCCCATCCCACCCATCCCACCCCATCCCATCCCATGGGAAGAGCCAGGGGCCGAGTCCTGGCTTCCGGACATGGTGGACTCTCAGCTTCCAGCTGTGGCCCAAAGCCCAGGGCAGACTTCCGGCCTGGGACACGGCCGGAGCCGGAGGTGTGCGGCCCGGACAGTCCCTCGATGTGTACCTACAGCACCGGGACCTGTACATATGTCACATAGGATTAGGCCCGAGCGAGATTGCCTGGAGCAGCAGCGCCTGCGCGGGAGAGCTCTAACATAACGCAGCAGCGTCGCCTGGACTGGTTGGTCTAACTTAATGCATCTTAGGAAAATTTAACGTTAACATGGACTGGCAGCTGACCTATGTCATCTTCTTATACTTTGTTCCCCTCCCTATAACAAAATTGGATTCCTATCAAGTTCACGGACAACAATGTCATGTTTGTAAAAAAAAAAAAAAAATTTTTTAAAAAGCCAGGGTTTTATATGTTACAGGCAGATGATGGACCGACAGGGCACAGGGTTGACTTTCAGGTACTAAAGCGTCGACCTCTGGTGTCATGGGTGTCTGGTCTCTCTGGGCGGTACTGACATGGTACGGGGATGTTTGATGTTGTTTGTTCAGCCCCCTCTTGTGAAATGTTCCCAGGGTGACCTGATAATGCAGCTTCCTTTGATCTTCTTTTGTAAATGTTTAGTCTTTTTGTACAGTAAAGCGATCCTTTCTGGACTTGTAAGAGTTGTGTGTCTGTTACCAACTGCCTCCTTGAACCACATGGTAGCTCTTCTTGAGATCCCAAGTTCCAAGGATGAAGAATTCAAACCCGTAGGAAAAATAGGTAACCCTCAGCATATGGGCCAAATGCTGCTTTTATCAGCATCGCCAAGAGAACCTGGAGAAATTCACGTTTCTTGGTGCCACTGAGACGGAACGTCGGGTTTTGTGTCCTTGTAGTCTGCAATGTAAAGAACGTAAGGTACAGCATACATGAAGGCATGAACCCAGAAACCTGCATATACCGAAGGGCAATGATGGGTGAACACCATGCACACTTCCTCAGACCTACAGCGAGATCCTTCAGAGCCTCGCAGGGGCGCTCCTCCCCGAAACTCTCTCGCTGAGCAGTGATCCATACCTGGAATTCTATATTAGCCATTCCCTTGCTTTCTCTGCAGATTTTATGCCTGAATAGCTAGCCCCGAGGAAAACAGTATATAATTTTGCCAGGTTTTGAATTTTATATAGATACTAGAGGCCCGGTGCATGAAAATTCATGCACTGGATGGGGGTCCCTCAGCCCAGCCTGCCCCCTCTCACAGTCTGGGAGCCCTTAGGGGTGGGAGATGACTTGGTGATCAGGGGAAGGCAACACACCCATCACACCTCTGCTGCTGCCACTGCCGGCAGTGCAAGCCTCGGTCAGCCCTGGTTACCTGAGCCTCGGGTGGCCCTGGGCAGCTGGGCAGCTGCCATCCAAGATTTACTTGCACCTTGGGCCGGCCCTGAGAAGCTGGGGGACTGAGAGGACTGGGGGGGCTCCAGAGGCAGGCACACGGAGTGGCTAGACCTGCCTGGGGGCAGACCCAGCCGTTCCACACACCTGCCAACCCGGCTGGGCTTAGGGTACTGGGTGCCGCCATCTTGTGGCTGTGGGCGCTGCCATTTTGAGGGTGTGACAGTTAATTAGCATATTCCCTCCTTATTGGCTGTGGGCACTACCAATTTTTGCGAGGTTTGTGATGGTCACTTAAAATACTCCCTCTTTATTAGCTGGGATAACCAAATGGTAAATTTGCCTATAACTTTATTCTTTCACTCAAAACTATTGATTTGCATAATTTACCCATGTTGCTATATACTAGTATAGCTATAAGTCATTCACTTTTTATTAGTTGTTAGTATTTGTGACTCAATATCATAGCACAATATTATAAGATTTTGCCAGTTTATTTATCCATTGTTTATCTACTGTTGATGGGTGTTCGTGCTGCTTCCAGTTATTTTCTGTTATGAGCAATTATTGTACACAGTCCTGGCTAACAGTGACTGGAAAAACACACCATGTACAAAAGAGTGCATACTACATGATCCCATTTACATATAGTCCAAAGCATGTACAATAACGCATGGTGTTCAAGTCAGGTACGAGGTACTTCCTGGGTGGCCGTGACCGGAGGGGAGCACACTGGGGGTGGGGGAGGTTTGGGAGGCTGGGTGAAAAAGGGGTCCCATTTTCCATTTTCCAAATTTGAACGCAAAGCAATTACAGTCAGAAGAGTTTTTTTTCTCGTGTGTGAACCAGGGCAAGCATGTCCTCCAAAGCAGCCAGGTAAAAATGGCAGCCCACCTGCGCTTGCACTTGGAATTCTCCGAGGCCTGTACACAGTCAGGGCTCCAGGCCCAGCCCGGGGGGGGGGGGGGGCAGCAGCTGCAGCTTGCCGAGCATCGGAAAGTTGGCTCAGAGAATAAAAAGGAGAGGAAAGTACTTGAACCACCTTTTCCCGCAGAGCCACCCCTGGGATTCCCAAATAAGGCCGTGGCGGAGGGAAGGTGACATGGAGAGCCTGCACCCCATCACTCCACACTCAGGGAGGCTGGGAGCCGGGAGGACCGTTAACTGCGGCTGAGAACGCCTCGCCCAAGTGCAACGGGAGCTCAGCCTCCAGGTGCGGCCACAATGCCCCCAGCTGCCCGGCCTCACACCCGCGTCTCATGCAGACGCCCGCTTTACGCCTCGAGAATCGTGTGGTCCCTCCCTGCCCATCTCGCCCCGTGTCCTTCTGTGGGAACCTGAGAGTGTTTAAGCAGGAGTGGGAAGGGTGTAAGGCAATCCTGGGAAGGGGACACACTGCCAGGGGGCTCTTTGTAAGTGACTGAGTCTGAGCTGCTGGGCTCATTCATTCATTTGCTCAGCCATTCCAGGCGAGGCCCTGGACGTCTGTGTGTCTCTGACGCAGCGGTCGGCAAACTCATTCATCCACAGAGCCAGATATCAACAGGACAACGATTGACATTTCTTTGGAGAGCCACATTTTTTAAACGTAAACTTCTTCTAACAACACTTCTTCAAAATAGACTCGCCCAGGCCGTGGCATTTTGTGGGAGAGCCACACTCAAGAGGCCAAAGAGCCGCACGTGGCTTGCGAGCTGCGGTTTGCCCGCCGCGGCCTGACGCAGTGAAACGAGTCTGTGATACGCCTCTTCCAGGCTCACCCTGGCTGAGCCCAGGCCCATTTGGCCCCCGTTTCCACCCCGCACAGGGAACGTGGCTTCCCAGGCTTTGCCCAAATAATGGAGACCTGCCTTCCCACAGAGAGGAAAGAGATGTTGGGAGCTTCTACACGTCACCAGGAAGAGAGAGGAGGAGCGTGGCTGATGCCAGGCCTTCCAGAGGGCTCTCTTCTCCCCTTTCCTGGTGAGAGGTCCCGTGCTCTCAGGACTTTGGAAAAGTGACGGCACAGGCTGCTGCTTCTTCATCGGTGAAGGAGGTGAGGGCAAGGCGTGTTCCAGGGATGGGGTGGGGTCCCCCCTAGAAGAGATCACATTCCAGTGGCAGCAATAAACCCGAAACTAAAACCACTCGTTCCCGACTCATCCCAGGGAAGGGAGGAAGACTGCCAACAGCACAGAATGGGGGGCTTGGGTGGGGCTTGTTAGGATCCGACAGTTTTTTTTTTAAATATATATATTTCTTCTTTTTAAAATATATTTTATTGATTTTTCTTGCAGAGAGGAAGGGAGAGAGAGAGCTAGAAATATCGATGAGAGAGAAACATCGACCAGCTGCCTCTTGCACACTCCCTACCGGGGATGTGCCCGCAACCAATGTACATGCACTTGACCGGAATCGAACCTGGGACCTTCCAGTCCCCAGACCGATGCTCTACCGCTAAGCCAAACTGGCTTTGGCAAAATATATATATATTTCTTATTGATTTCAGAAAGGAAGGGAGAAAGAGAACCATCAATGAGAATCATGGATCGGCTGTCTCCTGCACACTCTCTATTGGGGATCGAGCCTGCAATCCGGGCGTGTGCCCTTGACCGGAATGGAACTCAGGACCCTTCAGTCCACAGGCCGATGCTCTATTTACTGAGCTTTTAAAGTCAAAAAGGGAGCAGTGAGAAGGAGAATTTGAAAGAGGAAAGGAAATGTATGCCAGGCTAAACTGGTTTTTGATTTCCTGAAGGATCTAAAGAGGAGGAGGGCGATGAGACACGAGGTTCGAGTATGTTCCCTTCATCTTCGGGGGGCAGACATGAGCCCGTTAGAATAACCGATCACACGCTGACAGAACGTGTCCTGGGCAAACGGGGGTGGGGTGGCTGCATCTCGTCAGTGGCCGCGGATGGGCTGATGGGTCTCAGTCAGCTGTGCGGGGAAAGCAGTGTGTTACCAATCCTGGAAAGTCAACTGCAAGGGCCGAAGGTTTTCCCTCTGATGATGTCTTCCCACTATGATGGGGAGATACCAACTATGGTTGGGAGGGGTTCGGGGGGCACAGCCGGCAGGAGAGAACCCTGCCTGCCCGCCAACACTCACCACATCCGGTGCCCCACGCAGGAGGCTGTGCCTGTGCGTGGCTGCAGGGAACCTCGCGGGAGCTCTGGCCCCGGGTGGACAGCGAGGCAAGGGCTGAACCATCGCCCCAATCTGGATCTGGGATGGGGCCGAAGCCGGAGCAGGAAGGAGCTAATGTATTGGTTCCAGCAGAAGCA